CAAGAGATGGTTAGCAAGTTAGGATATTTTGGGATGTGGTGACGTCTTACACATGGTTATTTCCTTGTTGAGGAAGTAGATTTAATCGAAGTCAGAATAGAGAGGGTACTTGATGATACTCTCCTGTTGGGATTGAGAATATTCTGTACTTGGAGGTGATGTTGTTCCGTATTTGGAGACACAGAGTTAACTATATCTGTTGAGGACTAGGTGGTGAGTCACTCATTCAGCCGTCAGTTCTGATAATAAAATCGGTAGCACATGACCAGGAGGTCAAAGGATCATAGGGAAGCATCACTTTCACCGTTGAGAACATGCAAAATGAGAAGTTCTCAGGTAGTAGTTTACAATATATAAATATAATCAAAATATAGATGACAAAATCATGCTAAATTTTTTTTGTTGAAGTCCAGGTACTCAAATGAATACAGAAAAATATTTAGTATAGAAGTAAGCAATTCAAGTATAGAAGTAAACAATTCAAAAACTTAAAAATTATTTAACAATATTAATTACTTTCTTGGCTGTTATATACAGGGTGGTTAGAATTGACACATACTCAGACACATGTGGAGTCTGCTTTACTGAACCAAATCAAATTAAACTCAGTACACATTCAATGCAAATCATGAAGAGATTTACAGGGGAAAGAAATTAGCTGAAATTTCTCAACATCAGAGGAAAATGTGGCACTGCAAGGATAATTATAAGACAAGTGGGCAAAATTTTATTATAAGAATAAAATTACATTTCACACATTTACAGTATGTGAGCAATATAGAATCCTTCTGTCAGCCACAAATTGCAATTGTAAAACTGCATTATCAACTGCCACACTTGTCTTCCAGATTCCTCCTTACAAGGAGAGCCTACGGCTTTGGGGTAACGGATTTTGATGATCTTTGGTGTAGAGGTAGTACACCATGTGAGTGTACTACCTGTAAAATACTAAAGTGGAATACTCAAATATAATCGAGAAAATCGAACTTAAAGTTTTTTAGCACTTTATATATAAATTATACGTATTTCTATTTGAGCGTCCTGTGGCAGAGTGGTAACAAGTCTGATTCATAAGCTTGAGTTCTCGGGTTCGATTCTTGCGTATAATTTTTTTTTTTTTAATTCATAAATACTTATAATGTATTTATTTATTTACTCATTCATTTATTTCTTATTATTTATTTATTTTAATTTAATTTCTACTATTCCAAGTCTAATATTTTTATACTTTTGTTGACAATAACGGCGCATTCTTGACACCTATGTGTCAACTTTCCCATCTAATTGTTATCACTAACGGTGACCGATCTAATTCTCACTAGGAGCGTTTTTTCTATCGGAGTTCTTTTTCACTCACTCTTTAACAGTTCGTTTCTAAATTTCGACACGAATAGACGTATTTGTGTAGTAAAACTTATTTTGAAAAATTATTTTATAATCAAAAAATGTCGTCAAGAGAAGCAAGTTCTTCACGTTGTGACGAAAAAACTGTTGATGATAACTCTTTATACAGTGATGTAAAATACTAACTTGTAAAGTGCAAAACTCAAATATAACCAAGAAAAACGAATATAATTTATTGAAGCAATATTATATAATTACATATCATTGTCAGATGTACATGATCGTGAATGATACTTATGATAAAAACATTCAAAACAAAAATTCTGTCTACACCAAGAACAACAAATAAATGCTGCTTTTTTAAAAGGTATCATCAACAGTTTTTTCGTCACAACGTGAAGAACTTGCTTCTCTTGACGACATTTTTCGATTATAAAATAATTTTTCAAAATAAGTTTTACTACACAAATACGTCTATTCGTGTCGAAATTTAGAAACGAACTGTTAAAGAGTGAGTGAAAAAGAACTCCGATAGAAAAAACGCTCCTAGTGAGAATTAGATCGGTCACCGTTAGTGATAACAATTAGATGGGAAAGTTGACACATAGGTGTCAAGAATGCGCCGTTATTGTCAACAAAAGTATAAAAATATTAGACTTGGAATAGTAGAAATTAAATTAAAATAAATAAATAATAAGAAATAAATGAATGAGTAAATAAATAAATACATTATAAGTATTTATGAATTAAAAAAAAAATTTTACGCGAGAATCGAACCCGAGAACTCAAGCTTATGAATCAGACTCGTTACCACTCTGCCACAGGACGCTCAAATAGAAATACGTATAATTTATATATAAAGTGCTAAAAAACTTTAAGTTCGATTTTCTCGATTATATTTGAGTATTGCACTTTAGTATTTTACAGGTAGTACACTCACATGGTGTACTACCTCTACACCAAAGATCATCAAAATCCGTTACCCCAAAGCCGTAGGCTCTCCTTGTTAAATGTTATGTTGCACTGTGTTGTCCTTCAGTTCCGACACAGAGTGTACATGCCCATGATAAATGTGCTTTTTTCAAATAACCCTACAGCCAGAAATATCAGTTTGTGACTGAATAGCATCACATTTTCCCATGGTAGTGAAAATTTAATCTAATTTTTTTCCTTTCATAAATCTCTTTCCCCATGATCTTCAATGCATATGTACAGTACTGTACAGTTCTATTTGATTCAATAAAGCAGTGTCTGAGTACCATTAGTTTAATTCTAACCACCCTGTATAACAAAGGGAAAGTATGACAATTAGTCAAAAATGTCTCTCCCCAAGATTTTTACATTTTTGGATTCAGGACCTTGAAACATTGAGAAATGCAAAAAAATTCAGGGGTTTTTCTTATTTGTATGGCACAAGTTTGTTCACCCTCTTTGAAACTTAATGTGCTTTGTGTCAAATTTATGAAATTTATGAGATTTGTATATTAGGGGCATTAATGCTATTAAATTTTGGTGATTAAAGGTCAAAGGGATGGGGAGACATAGGAAGTCATCTCATATCTTGAGTGGGGTTAGACTTAATGAAGATTTTTCTCATTATTAACATTTAAAATTGTTTATAAAACTCATCTCTATCTTTGAAATTAAGCCTTTTGCCATTTTATAACAATCAATAATATAAATTTTTAAATAAAATATTGTAATAGATGGCACCACCAAAATTTTGAATTTTTCACTGGAAAAGTTATATAACTCATTGCTGGTTTTTTTTACAAACATTTATAAGATGCTTCATGATGTATCTTCAACTTGAGTTTAAAATTAAAACTTTTTATAGAAGGAAACATTTGTAAATAACAAAACTTGTCATAACATGTTACTTAATTAATTATAATGTTAACTCTCATCTTGTGGCATATGTATCCAGCAGATAGATACATGGTTTTTTTTATTGAATTTCTCAAAAATAAATAACAGTTGAACTGTGGGCTTTGTACTATTTCTCAACTGATATGTTCTGAAGCAATTCTTATAGTGATTTTTCTTGTTTGTCTTGTTTATTGTAAAATTTTTCTGGGGGGGGACCTTGCTACCACCGGCAGCAAATTCTCTCACAGCATGAAATTGCTATACTCTTGTGATTATGTGCAACAATCACAATTCTATAAAATAACAATGTGGAATATTTACCCTTTACCACAATGCTACACATTCTTTTTTTTCTGGTTTCAGTGACTGGACCAATCCCAATTAATTTCAAATTAGTCATTGCAACTTTTTTGACAACACGATTTTCTCACTTTGGTGTTATTGCTCTGCTTTCTCATGATCACAGCATAATAAGAAACTTAATACTTCTAATATAATAATAATTTCTATAATTTCATCTTTAATAATTTTAAAAATATTCATAAAATTACCAAAGATAAAATTATAGAATTTATTACTGGCAATACTAGTTGTTAAATCTGAAAGGAAACATTTCTCTGAGTGCAAGAAAACAATTTGTTAGTCATTTGACTCACTACAGACAGAGATGGGAGGTTTTTGAAAACAAAGTAATAAAACAATTAGCAGTTTGGCCTTCACAGTGAAGGATTGGCAGAGTCTATTACTTTTGTGGGAGAAAATAGTTTTAGTACCCTGAAGTTGAAAGATAATACAGTCGACCCCCCTATAATTACGGTCCCTATAATTACGATTCCTATAAAACTACGAAAAAATATACGTATTTTGGAAATGTTGAGTCAGATTAGTGTAGAATCGATTAATTTTATGGAAGAAAACCTTTCAATCAGCCATAGTCCGTAAACTTGACACGTGTCGGGCTGTGATTGGAACGACTTGTAAGAAATCGGATTCCTAATAAATTGGAACGTATCTATATCTTATAGGGGGGTCGACTGTACAATTCTGTGAAATTTAACAAATCTGATGTCAATAAGTGAAAGTTGAAATGATTTATAGTGACTTGATATTTGATGATATTATTGTTTTGCATTTATAGATCAAATTAGATTTTTATTTATTTTCTGTAATTTTTTTTTAAACCCACAAGTATTTTATACTGTTAGATATAGAAAATGTTGAAATCGAAGATATAATCGTAGTCAAGCATATATATCAGTAAAAATATAAAAATTGCATTAATTTGCTTTACGTATCCCTAGAATCCAATGCCCCAAGTGAGCTCTTAAAAACTCAACCTGCCTAAAGGGGAGTTAAAACAATATAAATACCATAAAAAGTATTTGTTTTAGTTCTATATCATAATGTCATCTTGAAAATATTTTTAAATGTTTAACAAGAATTTTATTTATTACTTTAAGACTTTATTATCATTTTTTTTTTTTTTATAACCTTTGAACAGTACAACCAAAAATATTTGTTAATGAAGAATAATGCATAATACAGTCTATTTCAATGACTGCTGATTGTTGTTTTGGGCTGCAAATGTAAGATGCCATTGATTTCCCTTTACTTTGGTCAAGTGAAATTGGGCTAAAAGGAAAATCTTAGAATTGAGAAAATGTAGTAATTCATTTTAGCATAATGGCAAACTTGAGATTGACATAGTCAACAAGTTAAAAATATACAGTCATAACATATTTTATATACATATGTAATAAGTATATATTAAAAATTTTTAAATATAGGTATATTGGAAAGAGAACAAGAACAATCAGTTGTATATGGTTCAGTTGATTTTGGAAAAACTGTTGTGACTCATCCAAAATATTTAAAATTGGTTAGTATCATATGGATGTTAAATTTTTTAAAGTTAAATCTTATATATGTTTTATGTATATATGTACAAATTTTTTTTAAAGTTAAATGAAGCTGGAAAGCATTTAAAAGTTTTACCTCACAAGTAAGTATTATGATATATTGAAAGTTTAAGTAGAAAATTTGATTTAAAATATTTCTTTAAAAATATTCTTTAAAAATATTCTTGTTTTCTAGTTTCTAAAGTATTCTAATCTTAGAAATTTTAATGTAGTTTTTCTGATAATTACTTTCAAATTAAATTAGAAATTTTAATATGTATATTTTATACTCAGAATTGTATCAATATTTACATCCAAAAATAATAGTCAACTTTTTGAATTTAAACTGCAGAGAGAGTAAGAAATTTTGAATTAGTTTAATTTTCAAAAATGAATATTTTTTTGAAAGTTTTAATGCTTTCACTGTTATTCTTTAGTCAATGACAAAGGTGGTTAAGGAATCACTCTACCACTTTGGGGACCTGGGATCAAATCTGAGTAAACAAACTGGTATTTTGTTTTGGCAGTGTGCCCCAGAAAAAGGTCTTTTTGGTGCCCAAAGGATAGAGTATTAAAATGTGGAAATATGGTGGATTTTTTTAAAGCCTAATGTTTAAATACAAAACTGCTGAATTAAAGTTACCTAAATATTTAGTTTTTAGGAGGAGAAACAATTTCAGAATTAGTTCAGTCAATTCTCAAAGTAGAATTTGTTATTGTGCAAGTGGGGACCAGGAGCTGTATTCTGGTCACTTATTTTTTCTTTCAGAGATTAATGATATCAAAAGAAGAGATGAAATTTATCTCTCAGACAGGTGATTCTAATCACTTTTAACGATCTCATCTTTGTTGTTGATGTATAATCAACCTAATAGAATCATGACATGTTTGGTTTTCTACGCATGCAACATGGTATAGAATTTTAACCAATTAAATTGTAAAATTTTCAAAAATGCAGAGTACATAATGTGAGAATCAAGGGTATAGGTGTGATACCTATATCTCTTACGGACTCGCAATCGTTAGATTGGCTCATGGAACTTTTTATAGGAGGGCTGTTAAATCGGTTTAAAAATAATCTGGACTGTGAGGTTCAGATCTATGTCAGGATTCCTGGGCACCAGTTAATCACATTTATATCACGTGGATTAACACGCATGTAGGGATCTGATTCTGATAACGATCAAGAGACATTTCTTTAACGATAAATAAAGATAAACATTTAATAAACTAAAATAAACAAATTAATACAACATAGAAAGAATTAAGTAAGTAAATACAATCGATGAAGACAACGAATAAATCAAAATAACCGCAGAGAGAGTAACGGACTTATTTAACTTATACAATATCAAGAGAGAGAGCTCACAATTCATTAATAAACATACAACCTGTTTAGTTGACTTCTTCCTCTTTTGTATTTGTATTAGTCAAATATACCTTCAGTTATAAGATTCTCATACTCCTATTCATGGAGAGGCATTGATAATGTCGATATTAAAATAATCTTCTATGTTTCTAACTCCTTATCCACTCGATCGGATATGACTATGGGCGTTGGCCTTCTGGAGCTTGTATGGATTTCGTCTTCCTCATCTGGGATCTGTTGACGAACTCCCCGAATTCTGCTAAATTTCGACTATATCTCCTAATCAGTGACCAATCAACATACTGTTCTTCACCCACATGAACAAATGGAAAGGGGAATAAATGAGGGGTCGTCAGTTCTCATGGTGGTGAGATTTTGTAACAGATAAGGGAAAAACAAAGGATGCTTCTACTTTCGTCAAAGGAAGTGGCTCTGTTATCTGCTTTCCCACAGTAGAAAACTGTTATTTTCTCACTAAAACGAAAGAATATTTTTCTACAAAATTTAAACTATATTTTTAAATTATTATTTAGACCCAGGGGCTATTCGGATCTCACAATAATTATATCAATAGATCATGTGGTAAAGAAAGTATGAGTTCAAATAAAGCATGTAATTTTAATGAAGATATGCTGTTTGTTTTATAATATTTTTACAGATTGTAATGTCAAATTGTCTCTTAACAAATAAAAATTTAAAAAACCTAAGTTAGAAAAGCATCTGTACTAAGTTAAGGAGAAATTAGATGGTAATATTTCGAAAAATAGTTAGAGAGACGGATAGTAACATCATATTCAATAGTTGAATAATTGATGTAGGATAATTAAACACAATGGAATCTGTGGCATTCCTGAGTAGGCACTGGGAAAAAATTAGATGCATTTTCTCTCTCAAAATATTCTTTCCTGAAATAGAGAACATTCTCTAATATGATTGTACAGTGCAAGTAACATTCAGTCGTTCATATTGGATATAATGAAATCAAGGCAAAAGACGAAAGACAACTATCCGCTCATCTTCGAGAGACGAGAGAATCTTTGAAAGAAAAAGTTGTCCAGAATCGTGTTTGGAGAGAGACAATCTCTCAAGACAAACAAATGATTAGCCTATTAGCGATTGGCTTGTGATGTAGACACTGTCTCTCAAAGACAAGAGACAATGATCAGAATACGGCCCCAGTAGGTCAGATGCATGTTGAGAAAGAACAACTTAGATTAATTTTTTAATTCCATTTTTAAACTTTAACAGTTGGCATAAAATTGAAAGAAGTTTTAAATCCAAAAGGGTAGCATGCAACTAGGAAAAGTGTTGATTGAATTTTTCTTTAATGTTTTAATTTTTTTTCTGTATTTAAATATGTAGAAATACTGTAGACAAAATTGAATTTATGTGAATAGTATGTAAGTGAAAAATTAAATGAAATGAATTTTAAGTTCGTCAAAGATTTCTATGAAAATTATTTATATATTAATATATATTGTATTTTTCAATATTAAAAGTAATTGCAGAACCTTACAATTTTGATTTTAATATTTTTCAGAGTATTAAATGATAAAAATGAAGAAATTGAACTTTGTTCTTCAGTAGAGTGTAAAGTAAGTTTATTTTTATTCATATTTAATATGATCAATATGTTTTTTAAAAATATTACTAATTTCAGGGAATAATTGGAAATGATGGAAGGCATTATATTCTTGATTTGTTACGAACTTTCCCTCCAGATGTTAATTATATTCAAAGTAAGCAATATTTTAAATTCTTAAGTTTTTAATTAAGTTTTAAATATTTTATTTATTTATTTTTTGTGCTAAATAAAATATTTTGATTAGTTGATGATGAACTTAGTAAAGAGGCAAAAGCTCTTGGATTTCCCTTACAACATAAGCACAAGTTATCATGTTTACGTCAAGAATTAATTGATGCATTTGTTGAGTAAGCATTTTTTTTTTCTTCTAATGAATTTTATAAAATATGGATTGAATAAATTATATCTAATTTTGGATTTATTAATTTTTATTAGAAGTTATCCATAATTAACTATTCATTTATGAAAATTTTAACTAATATATTTTCAGTAATTAGTTAAGATCATTCTGATATTTACACAGCCAAGAAAGTTACCCAGTTGCTTGCTGGATTTTTTTGATATGAATGTCTGAGGGTCATTAGGCAAATTTGCATTTTGGAAGTACATGATGCTTTTCATCTAAAGCATATAACTCCAACTTTACTGCTCAATAATGTTGAAGGTTTGGGTGTTAACACTAAAAATCTACAGTGTACCTGTGTAAATCAGAATTGCACAGTACCAAATTTTTTTTATTTAGTTCAGACTGTTTCTATTTTGATTTTTAACAGAAAAATGCTGTTCTGAAAAAATTCCATTTAGATAGGTTTCCATTTTGGAAAGGTTATACTTTATAAGCAAAATAAATTTAATTAACTTTCATGTGATATAACTTTTATTTGTCTTTTACAATATTTAATGTATTTTATTTGTTACTAGCTTACCCGTCGCGCATTGCTGCGATCTCAGAAGAAAGGAAATTCAAGCAAACTCGTTATGATAAAATTCAATTTACATTTTATCATTTTTATTGAAACTTATTATTATTATTCATTTTCATCGGGAAAACATTTCAAAGTGTCGTTTCAATTCTATTTATTTATTGGAGTGCTCGTGGATACACGATATTTTTTGTTTTTTCGTCTGGTGCGTACACGAATAATTCGGAAGGTTTTCCGACGCGTGAGCTGGCCACATACAGTTGTCCATGCGAGAAGCACGGATTCTCCAAATTTAGCCCACACACTTGCAGCGATTGTCAGAAGTGCGATATTCCCCATTTTTATATACATTTTTTAATCCTTTACAATTTTAATTATTTAATTGCTCCTTCCTCTCTTCCTTGGCGCGTTGTGAAATTTCTGATAGTTGGATAATAAACCGTTTTATTGTAATTTGTCTTTTTAAATTATTTTGAGCTGATATTAAAATTTGGGAAAGGGGGATCCTAGATCGGTAAAATAGGCAAATTTCCTCCTACAACCTCGGTTGTTGTTCGGGATACAGTTAAGGTTTTAACAAAGTTCGAGCGAATATGTAATTAGCAAAAAATAGTTGAAATAAAGTGATTAAACAAAAATTATTAGAAATATCGTAAATAACAAATGCATATATAGAGATATTTTTGGAGGGGGTAAATGGTCTTCACAATTTGAAATCGATCGAACACACAGTGCTCGAATACTGGTGTAAACGCGTGCCATCTATCGTAGGATAAATGTACTTCGCGGAAGTGTATTAAAAATCTTTCCAAAGTTTCATGGCAATCGTACTATGCCACAAACCTTCACTGGAGTATATTAAACAACTTCCCAAAGTTTCACGGCAATCGGATAAACGGTGTGGTAATGCATGAAGGACAGACATACATTCATTTTTATATATATAGATAAAGCATCTTGTCTCCTCCAAACCATAAGAATTAGATCTGGACAAAGGACCAACAGAATACATTAAGGCATGTGCTTTTAGAATATGTAATGAAGTTTACTCCAATGTGAATAGTCTAAGTTAAAATGCGCAATTTCTGGAAAATAAACAGCCTCCTTTGGCTTCTAACACATTGTCAGTGGCCATAGGTGACTATTTATTTCCAATGACAATTTAATCATTATTGCTCATTACTCCTTAATAAATTACTTTTTTCCCATTATTCCTATTTGTAATAAAATAGCACATCTTATCTTATTTAATAGGATATAAATTAGATATAACCAATCTATATTTGGTTTATGGCATCTGACATCGTCTTCCTCTCCATCTCTCTCTATCCATACACCATTCCTCTTTAATCCCCTTTTCACTACATGCTAACTTTACTCTGTCATACCAAGTTTGTCTGGGTCTTCCTCTTTTTCCTTTTTTGCAGATTGTATTCCATTGACATTTTCAGGAATCTCTCATCTCTCATTCTTTTCACAAGTCCAAACCAAATAAGTTGTTTCCTCTTTATTTCTTCCAAAACCATCTCCTTCAATCTCATTAGGTCTTTGATTCTCTCATTAGTTATTCCTTCTCTTTTTTGAGATTCTGCATGATCTTCTCAATGCATCCATTTCAACCATTGTTACTTTTCTCTTCCTTAGCCATTCTCCATGCCTCTGCCCTATATAATAGAATTCTTTTAACAATAGCATTATGTGAGACTAATCGGGGGTAGGATGTTTACGAGGATGTCTTTCTCCTACCACTTACTCGACTCAAGACCTTGAGGTCCGGTCTCGCTTGTCTAAAGGATGGGAGAAAAAAAACGGTTAGGAGAAAGGATCTGACACCAATCTATCAATTTATCGCGGATAGATGGGGAGAATAATCACGAGCGATCTCGTCGAGGACTTCGGGTTCAGTATGGAGTGGAAAATGTCGGAAGAAACGCACACCAATCCAAGTTCGTTAACAAAATACCCGTTTATTCTGTACATTTATACATGGTTAATAATTGGAATACAAATCCCTCTCGGGGTTCAATCCTTATAGTTCATAAAGTAACGGCAAAGTATAAAGTAGTCGTGCCCCTAACTGCGAGTTTGGAATAGTCGAATAGCGAGAGAGAGCTTACATATTATCGCGTGTAGGATAAATACCTCGAGTTAAATCGTGGATGTAGTTTCTTGTTCTCCTGGGTTCGGAATATAGTCCAAAGTTCAAATCAGTCAAAGTTCAAAGTCTGTTGAAGACGGTGGCAACGAGAGGCAGGTAATCCCCACACACACACACACACACACAGTATAGAAAATAACTTTTTTCCCCCTGTGTCGTCATCACACTTGTCTTTTATATGGGGGTTCTGTTTTCGAGATTTCCCCCATGTACGTCACAGGTGATGATCTTCGTTGACCAATGGTGGGCGAAGTGATAACTTTTGACACAACAGTTAACTCATCTTCTACAGGGAAGTATTGTCGTGGGAACAGAGTTTTTATGAGCGATTTTTATGAAAAAATTTGTCAGTTGTTTTTCCGTTTTTGTTAACCCTAACTTTTAATCTAATGAATAAAAAGGAATATAACTATTCGAATCTCGGTCCTCTTAAATCCTGGCCCTCACAATTATATGTATATATATATATACAATTAGATAATTAGATCAAGATAAAACAATAATTAGATCAAGAAAAAAAAGTATATAGATATACACTTTTTTTTCTTGATCTAATTATTTCTTTACTCCACCATATTCCATTTAATCTTTTAACTGCTCTTATCTTGTTCTAATCTTGTATAAATTTCTAATGTGTCTCTTCCATCTTGATGAATTTGTATTCCAAGATAATTGTAATGTTCACATCCCTCAATCTTCTCTCCTTCTTCCAGTTCCATGTCTGTTTTAGCCCTCCTATGCATAAATATTTTGTTTTACTCATGTTTATATATATAAACCACCTTTAAAATATTCCTCTTTTATTTTTTATGTCATTTATTCTAGATCATCCTTATCCTCTACCATTATCACCTGATCACCTGCAAATTGCAATGTAAACATTGATTTACCATTATTATCTATTACCATATTACAAAATTTCCATATTTTCAATACTCCTTCTATGTAGATTTTAAATAAAGTTGGTGAGATACAACATCCCTGTCTTAGTCCTTTTGATACCATAAATCCTTCTATATTTATTTTCCAATTTTTATTTTCATTATGGATTCTCNTAAACCTTCATTTCACTGTTCTTCTCAAATCTTTAGGAATAAGTCTCTAAAGGCAGAATTTCTATTGAGGCTACTCAACTATTCATTTGTCCCAGTATGTAAAAACTTTTAAGAAAAATAGTTCCCATTTAATATTTTGTATTAATTGTAATATATAGTATATATTATTTATTAATAAAGTATTGTTGCTGGAAAAGGTTAAAACTGTTTACATTTTTACTGCACTCCATTTTATGGGGTTTATTATTAAAAGTTTATATTTTAGCTTAATGTTTATTATTCTATAGAAATTTATATAAAAATTATAATTATGCAAAAATCATATGTTAAGATAATCTTTCCTAGATATTGAGGAATTTCTTATGGAATTTGCATGTGTTTCATCTTATTCTTTAAGTTCTTTCACAAACTGGATTTTGTTTAATGGATATATCATCCATACCCTTGCTATGACACTCTTTGACCTGTACAGAAAGTTTAAAATACAGTTCCACAGTTTTAGTTCTATTTTCCAAACTCTAAGACTATCAGAAGCAAAGAATGATCCAGGAACATATCGTGAGGAAGCAATTTTTAATTTATGTAACAAAGTAAATAATAATACAACAGCTTTGTTGCTTTAATAATTAATTAAAATAAACTATATAACTATATCAAAGGAAGAGAAATACAGTAGACCCTCCCTATAACACGGGTTCATATAAGACGGATTCGTATAACATGGCAAAAAAATTGTGATTGTGTTCATATAACACGCTAAAAGAGGCTCATATAACATGGTAAAAGAATGAGACAGATTGTCATGGCCTACTCATGTCTCAACAGGATTGGTTGAATCTGGATTAATAGTGACTGACAGTGAATAAATGTAAAAAAATAGTGTAACTGCTTCTTTTATTTAATGCAAAATGAATAACAAAACATTTTAAATTTCAATATTTGTTTGTTTTGAAGAGAAATAAAAAATATTTTAACTCTTACATATTAAATATTTATTTTACATCTTTGTTAAGTATCTGTATAAGTGTATGTTTATGCATAAGTAAACTGTATGGAGCCATTCATTTGCCAAAACGGTTAAGTCCATAAAAGGAAAGGTAGAAGATATGTACAGTATTGATAAATTTTTATACATTTTCTTGTGAAAAAAAAGCATTTATTATTCAATGGCCATAAAAATTGTTGTCATGTAGTGCCTTAAGCCTGATTACTAAAGAAAGTTATTTTAAATATAACAAAGTAAATCGCTCTGAATGGCTCATGTATTTATAAAATCTAAGTGACTAGTACAACATGGATTCATATAATATGGAACATATCTACTATGTTATAATTCTTTTTTGCAGAGTTTGTTGTGATCTAATACATTCTAATAAATTTGCCTTTTTAAAAATCTTTATTTGATTTTAATTTTAAGAAAAAATATACTTTTCTAGAAAACTACTATTTGTTTTAATCCAAAGAATTTGTATTTAAGGCTGCTACATATGCTTAAATAAAATTTAAGATTTGGCTGTTTTTTGTGATTTTATTTGAATGTGTATAGCAACAATCAGTCTTTTATTCCAATTTTATTGTACAGTTGAAGTAGTCATCATATTTCAAATTAAATTTTTTCTTTCTTTTTTTTCAAATGCAATTTGGTGTTTATTTAATAGAAAAATTAAAGTAAAAAATTAAAATTTGTGTGAATAATATAAATTTATTAAATTTTGTTAATAAGTAAGGTACAGTTTTCCTTCCTGATTTAACTAAAATCAAAATAATTTATTTGAACACAATTATATTAATTGGTTTATTACATTATTGCATACAGACAATTTTTATTTTAATACAGAACAGGATATAAAATGAAATAACTCATAAATTTTAAAATATAATTTTGAAAAAATTTTTTTTTTGTTTAAATTTAGAATTAGATTGAAATTTTTATTTAATTTAATTTTAATAAATTGTATTTGAAAGAGTGGACGGAACTGTATTGGTAAAATTAAAAATGTAATGATTTGAATAGATCTGAACATATTAATGAATGGAAGTAATCCAGTAAACATTCATTATTTTGTAAATGACTACAAACAACTGTTACAGTGCATATTTTCTTTTTTAACTATACTCTGAAGACAACTAAGAGGGGCCTTTTCATATCTCATGAATTTGGCCAGACTTACAGTAGTTGATATTTCATTTGTAAATTTCTGTTACAATAATGCATATAGATAGGAATGTATAATTTCAATTTTTTCCTGTTGACAATAATGATAAGGAGTTAAAATTTACTTCAAAAGTTTTTTGCATATTTTTAAATATATATAATAATTTTGTATCGGACTTGTTTTAAAAATTTAATGATGATGATAAAATTATTACTATAAGAAATCTTTATTTGACTGTAAATTTTGATTATTAATATTTAAATTTTTAATAGGGCAAAATACTTAACCTTTATCAAATTAGCAGCATATCACTTACAACAACTTGGATTAAAAAATTTAGTAAAAGAAAAGTCTTCTGATAAGGTAAGTTAAAACTACAGTATTAAATTTGCTCACACAGATTATTATTATTTTCTTCAGTTTAATATTCTATAGCTTAGTGGCTATTTATTATTATGTTGGGTTTAGTGGGTTATACTCAGTTCACACCGGTGGCTGTGTACTATGTCGAATCAGAGTCAAGGCATAGCAACCAAAAACTAAAATTAAATTAGTGTGTCAGTGTCTGTATTCAGGAATTTCCTAACAATATGGCATGTATTCAATATAGTGGCCTTCTGTAGTGTGATGTATGTATTTCTACTCAATTGTAATGTTCCCAGGCTTTTGTGTAGCGTGTGTGGTATCACATCTATACAGGAGAGAATGACAGGTACAATAAGCACCCTATCCATCCTCCACAGATGCCTTATTTCCTGGGCGAGTTCTGTGTACTTGCTAATTTTTTCAGTG